TTCTTTGTCGCCCCTGGTCATCCCTGGGAGTAGATTTTATCACAAACACGCCACAATCTGAGAGCTTCCCCTATATCCTTGTCACCATTGAGACACGCACTCACGCACTTCCCTCGGGGGAATCTCCACCCCAAACAACTCTATAATATATAATTTTTTTTTAAAACATTTATAACAGCCCAAGCATACCTATATACATATAGAATGCTGCATCAAACAAATTTGTAAAGGAAAAAATTTGAACAATTAATCAACTGCATGGCAGATTCAAAGTGATCAAGGGCTTAGGATGTTCCAATTCAGCTCATTGCAAAGATGCCGCCAGCAGTGGGCACTCATGCAACGTAATCAATGACGTACATCCGATGTAAACAAGATGGAGAGAAGTTAGCGAGGGAAGGGCATAAAAAAATTAAGTGGAAAGCAGCCAATGTTCCAGGACAAAACATAATGTCTGGGTGCAGTCCCCAATTCATTTTGAAGGTATATATGTTTATAATACATTTTTTGAGGTGTTGTGTTTCTATTTATAGGTCATATTTATATAGTTTATAACTTTTTGCTATATTGCTGTACCAGATTTTTACTGATGTTAGAGAGAGAAAGGCAGCTGCCAACCAACCACAATGACGATTGTCCGTATGAAACTACGAACCGAATACATAAGCTGGTCACTTCAGGCCACACATCTTGATGCTAATTAGTTAGCCAAACAACCATACCTGCAGAAAAGAAGGGATAAAACCAGAACAGGCGGACCTCAGGTAATGACATACAAGTGGTGGCCTAAAATTCCCTTTTATAGACTCACTGAAATGATGTGATTGGACAACTCACTCATTACAATAATAATAATTAAAAAAAACTGTTTGTCCCACTACAAATATCAGTGGTTGTTTTAATGTTATGATAGTGTTTTACACCAGTGGGCCCAATTTACTGATCTGATCTAGGGCTTCTCAAACCCCTGGACCAGATCTAAATAAATCATTAGTGGAACTCTACAAGCAGCCAGTGCTGTGAGATCTGAAGACATTTTCTAAACGTCTGTTTGACATCTGATAGGAAACGTCCTTTAGCTGTATTACAGATGAGCAAACACTCTAAAAAATATGTCTTGCAGATGTAAATGCAGATGTCAAATAGACGTCTCTGTGATGTACGTGCGCTGTCATGAAGGTGAAGACTTGACCGCAAGATCCTCTTTTGAGAGATCATCACATTAACAGAAATTTCTGGCTGGATGTAGGACCATCACCTTCAACTCAACCTTGCTAAGACAGAACTGCTCGTGGTCTCAGCCTCTATAGAGCTAGGTTCGTCAACCACAACTCCTTCCAGGACAGCCAGGAACCTTGAAGTTGTGATTGATGATCAGTTAAGCTTCACAGACCGTATTACTACAACGGCCCGGTCCTGCAGATTTGCCTTATATAACATTAGGAAGATTAGACCCTTCCTATCAGAGCAGGCCACACAACTCCTTGTCCAAGCTCTTGTTCTCCCCAGCCTGGACTATTGTAATGATCTCTTGGTGGGCCTTCTGGCATGTACCATCAAGCCTCTCTCTCTTGGCGGGCCTTCCGGCATGTACTATCAAGCCTCTGCAACTGATCCAGAATGCTGCTGTGAGAGTGGTCTTCAATGAGCTGAAGAAAGCCCACATCACATCTCTCTTCATCAGCTTGCACTGGCTGCTAATAGCCGCTCGCATAGAATTCAAGGTGTCTGATGTTTGCCTACAAGACAACCGCTGGCTCTTCTCCAATATACCTAAACTCACTAGTTCAGACCCATGCACCCTCCAGAATATTGCGTTCTGCAAGTGAACGATGCCTCATGGTTCCATCCCAAAGAGGAACAATTCTGTTCTATTCTATTCTATTCTATTCATTTTTTTGTTCTAATTTATTGAAGAAAAAAACTTTCTATGTTTACTGTGCTAGACTAATTGAGACTTGTCACATCACTTGTATGCTGTTGCTCTCCTGTTGGTCTGATTGCATCTATTGTTCTCCTCATTCGTAAGTCGCTTTGGATAAAAGCATCTGCTAAATGATTAAATGTAAATAAGATTTCTGTTGATTGTGATGATATTGTGTTATTAGTGTTTGTGATCTGGTCAGTGTTGTGTGTGATTGTGTTTATGAGCAGCTGCAGTATCTCTCAGCTGTATGAGTGTGGTTACTGTAACTCTGACTGATCTGATCAGTGTTGTGTGTGATTGTGTTTATGAGCAGCTGCAGTATCTCTCAGCTGTATGAGTGTGGTTACTGTAACTCTGACTGATGGAGGTTTTTGTTCGACTCTTTATCATTGTGTGAACACAGGTGTATTGTTGATCCAGTGGTAACTCTGACAGAAATAATCTCCTGTATCTTTAGTCTGGATTCCACTGATGGTCAGAGTGAAATCAGTTCCATAATCGGCTCCATTTCCACTCAATCTAGATGGAGTTCCTGACTGGAGGGATTTAATATAGTACACTAAAAGTTTAGATAAACTAATCAGGACAGGAACAGGAAACTAACCAAATAAGGGCATGGGAAGGCACATGGGGAGCAGGACACACACAAAACATGGAACAGAGTCTGACAGTCTGACTGGTGTCCAATAGCACTGCTGGTTTTACAGGTCAGAGTGACTGTTTGTCTGTTCTGAACATGTTTCTCTGTTGGAGTCTGAATTACAGTCACCTGTCCTGAAGAATCTGAAGAACAATTAAAAGACATTAAACTTTTTTTCAATAATGTTGATATTTCAGCTGCAAATAATCTATGCATTAAAGAACTTGGTCTTACCTTCAAACTACATTCCTAAAATCAAGAAGAATATGAATGTCATTGTCAAACTACATTCCTAAAATCAAGAAGAAGATGAATGTCATTGTAGTCATTGTGTGTGTTATTATGATAAACAGTGTCAGTCATGAAGTGTTAAGCTCACAGCACTATAAACTCTCAGAGCACTGAAGCGTGTGCTGACAATGCAAAGTGACTTTCACTATTTAAATCATCTACCTGAAAACTGTAGATCTCCCACAAACACATTTCAAAGACAATTACCAATATGACATGAACATCTAAACTCCTATGTACCATATGTACTATTGTCTAGACAAAACACCTGTATTGACCTTGGACAAATTTACAATTTGTTAAAGTTTTCTGACAAATAAACATTGCATGTCATTCATCAATATTTATGGAGTTTCTATTTATGCCTTGGCTATTAACACTAAGCACCACTGTCTGGTTGGACCAGACACAATTATAAAAGACACAAGGTTGACAGTAGGTAATGGGTTCTGAAAGTAAAGACAGTGGATAAAGCTTTTGA